TCGAGCCTCGAATCAGCTCGCTGTTTGAAGTCTCGTCCCTCGGCATTGTTTTTGTTTCTGATGAGTATTGATGAGTTTTAATAAATTGCTGATGAGTTGGCCGACTTGGGTCTGGGGGGCTGGCTGTTAGAGATACCAATATCTGTAGACGGGGGACCAGATTCAACGCCTTGGCTACCAGGGGGCACGGCACCGTAGCACTGCAGCCGAGCAGCAGCCGAGGAGCAGCCTGGCAGCCGGGCAGATGAGCATTTGACTGATGCGTTTTTGAAAGTGGCGTCGAATTTCTCAACCGTGAAGCGCCATGCAGAGCAGCGGTAATTGAGATGCTGCCTGATCGGGCTCCGACTGCGACTCTTCTTGGCTCTGCGACTCTTGGGCACTCTGGAACGGTGAGATCTCGGTGCGAGTGTAGCAACGTGTATCCATTTAATTGCCGCCATTATTAAACTCATTTATCGTGTTTTCATTTCAAAGTGTTCTTCAGGTGTTCGTGGCCGCGACTGGCTGAGTCGGAGTCGAAGATACTGTGGTGTGGCTCTGTTCGGGATTGGGATCGGGATGCAGATGCAGATGCCTGTATGCAATTAGCGTGAATAGCTTGAGCAGCTGTCCATTATGTGAGGCTGGCCGTGATGCAGCAGCGTCTTACATGAGAATTAAGTTGTTTTGCTTAATTAATAAAAGTGGTTTTTAATAGAACGCCATTAGCCAGCCATTGGCCACGGGGCAGCTAAACGAAAGACGCAGAAGGAAGCTTCTTTCAACCATCTCTCTGACTCAACACCCACCTCTGTCTGGATCATTTCTCGTTGGGTTGGAAAAGTTTCCATGTAACGCGGACATTAAGCAATCTCTTGGCTTGGCTTGTCACACTTTCGAGTTCATCAGTGTCAAAAGCGGCAATGATGATGATGACAGGGCAGCCGGACCGGAATGTTTCCTTGTTTTCACCGTCACATAAACTCATATAATTAACATAATCATAATCAACAAAGTATAAACATTAAATTGAGGCTAATTACTTTATAACCGACACTCAACTGCGAAACATCTGACAATGTTGTACGAGTAGGTTGAATTACCCCCAACCCCAACCCAGCCGAAAATAAAACTGAAAAAAACATGTTCACTTGTGGCAAACTCGTTTCAATTATGAAGAATCGAGCGAGCCAGTCTAAGCGAGTGCCGAGCGGGGTACGCACAACAAATGATTATAGTACACCAACAACAACAAACCATACACCAACAAAAATACAACAATAAGAACGAAAGACTACCCCCCACTCTTCAAAGCCAAATGGTTCTACAAAAAAAATAATTTAACTAAACAATATACCAAAATCAAAAATAAAAACAAAAACACCAACAAGAGTACACCAACAACAAAAGTACACCAACAACAGTCAACCGGATGGAGTCGAAACAAACGTAAATTATGCGATAGCGCGACAGTTTCACACATGCGAATGAAATTTGATTTAATTTTCGTCTAAATGGAGGCTATGATCACGTCTCTGATGTCTGCCGGCATTAAACTGCAATTGTCTTGTGGACAAAAGTACACTGAAAAAAAAAATACAATGCCATTCCCATAAATCTAATGGTTTGTAATATGTATCTCGTGTATGTAAAAGTAATTCCAACATCGAACATAAAAATACATCAATAAAAAAATAAATTTGAACCTAACTAACATCAATAAACACCAAGTGATGCATCTCTTTCCTAGCCGGCTTCCCTCCAAAAAAGATTGAGACACCACTGAAACGTGCCACAAATTTCGGTGCAGTGTGCATCGAGTGAGTACTCTCGTGTACTCACTCTGCCAAAGTTGCCGGCCAGCCAGCCAGCCAGCCAGCAGTAGCTTACAGCCGTTAACCATTGACTGCAACCGGTAACTGGTCGCGACTGCCGCTCGAAATGCGGGGCTGCTTGACTGAAATTTGAGCAAGATTAAACAGCAAAGTTTACTCAAAACTCCGCTTTGGATTTTTATGACAGGCGCATGAATCCGTGTGCAATTGTAAGTGCGCCATATAATTTACAGATAATTATTATAATTACAGGTTTATTTTCAGTTAACATGTTTGTAGCCGCTCTTGCCAGTCCGAGAGTCTGCCAGTCGGCTGGCCACAGCTGAGATTCCGTTTTTTGGTCGGCCATTGCATATTGGCGGCAATTAACAGGCTCTTTTTTCGAGCTACAAATATATTTTGGTAATAATAATGGCAATAATTTGGTTGTTTTTTGCAATTTAATTACATTTTCCATATAATTAGCTGCCTTTTGATGTTTTCCTCAATCAGTTAAATGCTCAGAAATAATGATGACAACTTTGGCCCAAATTTTGGCGAAAACAAAAGACTTAAGCAACGAACTAATGCTTGAGGATAGAGCAGCTTCCAATCATTTAACGTTTCTGCAGAAAGGGATACGGTGATTTTTTATCTGCTTGAGGAATTGAAAAGAAGAACATTAAACATTTTGCGTATCTTTTCCATTTGGGGTACTTTCATTCCACTTAATTAGGGGAAAAGTTTCGAGCAGTTTCAACCTGAGTCATCTCTCATAACTCTCTTTGGCCAATTATGCGTTATGGCTGAAGCCGAGGCCGAAGCCGATGCCGAAACCGAACCAAAAACTGAAAATATTGTATCTCTGCCGTTGGTCATAAATAAATTTGCCAGTCCGAGAATATGTACAAGGAAAACACAAGCGACTGACAATCTATGGGGCAGGGCCGTTCAGGACAGGACAGGGTTGGGTTGGGTTGGGTTTTTGGTCTGCTTTGGCAGTGACTGTTGCTGTGGGCTTGGAGTGCGATAAAAATCGCTGGCAATTTGTTAAATTTAACGATTTTCAACCTCAAGCTAACGAAAACTGTGCCGAAAGTTGGCCACTCGCCCCCGTTCTGCCCTTAGCCCTCATCCCTCGGCGTCGCCTCCCCCCGGCTTCGACTGTTTTATGGCCAAATAAATAATTAAAATGATGCGTGGTGTTAAGTGCCGCCACGTCGAGAGAGTTCCGAAACTCTTGGTGGAGAACCACTAAACCACACGCAGTCTGACGGTGCCTGGCATTTCTTTTGAAAATTTGTCATAAATTTATCGCTTTTGCGACCGGGTTCACTAAACCTCCACTGTCCCCTGGACAGATCTGGGTCCAACTCAAAGCCCAAGCAACAGACCGAACCTGAGTCGGGATCGGGGCACGTACTTTGTCGTAGTCCAAGCTTAATTGCTTGTCATGTGGCACACATTTTTGCCACAAATTGGCCGCCAGATATGCGAGACGTGACCCTCGGCACGCGGACCACACAGCGCTTGATGTTGTTAGAAGACTGCCAAAAATTATATGATTATCCACTCCGCCCAAGGCCCATTATGGCGGTCAAAATATACCCGCAGACACATTATGTAAACTAGCTGCAAAAAAGGTCTAAGCGAAGCTGCGATTCTCTTGGAAAGAGTTCTTTATTTAAGTAAGATATGGATAAATATCCAACCAAATCTGTTCTGTAGCAAATCTGTTTGCTCAACTTCAATGAACACCTAAAACACCTCAATGCAACCTCGTCTACCCATCATTTGCAGAACTATAAAATGTAAAGAGACACATTTCTTAACCCCTGAACCGGTTAGTGGTTCAGAGAATAAAACCAAAGACGCAGACGCTGAGGCAAACGCAGACCTCATTAAAGGCGGCCACAACACAGACAGAACTATAATCCAAATGTGACTCCGAGTTCGGTTTAATTTTCATTTTTAATGAACTAATATGCTTTATGAGTCGAGCGACTTGCTCCACACAGAATGTCACTTGTCGCAGCTTCTTGTCTTTTGAGATCTCGTGGGTTTTATGGGTGTGCGTAATCGTAAAAGACAACGAGAAATCTCCGAGCAACATACATAAAACGAGGCTCAAACCTAATCTTAACTGATCTCGAAGGGCGGTTATCATCAACAGAAAATATGGGCAACGGAAAACGAAAAATTAAGTAGCAAGTGCCTCATTCTTTCCTAGTAAATTCTGTCAGGTTTATGAGAATCGTGTGTAAATAGGAAAACAGAACCGAACAGAATGGGTGGATGTTGTTGCAGGAATCCCACATCTCCGTATCCCACAGTACCCGCGGAGTTTATGGATACCCTGAAAATTAAGACACAACGTAAGTGAGTGGTGAAAGTAATGCAGGCAATTCAGAGAGTACTTGCTACCCCTCCCCCAGTGAAACCCACACAGATACAGTATCTGTACAATCGGTTCTGTCAAATATCTGGCGAATATCGTCCCAATCAGGTGCAGAAGTACAATTTTTACTCGGGCTTGTTGTCCCTCAATCCCCTGCTGCCAACGATCCTGAACTGCATGTTCGGGGAGAAGAATGTGATTACTTTTGTAGAGTTTGCCATGTTCCTGAGCACGTTCCAGGCTCACTCCCTGAGGACCAAGCAAGGCGTCAAGAACGAAGGAAAAGACCGCAAGCTCATCTGTAAGAGTTGATATTAAGCCCTCCAAGATCGATGATTTTCTGTATGGTTACCCTTCCTCATTCACAGATCTATTCAATATGTACGATCACAACAAAGATGGGCGCATCACCAAGGTTAATATATGTAGCTGTAAGTAAAGGGAAATAACTAATATAATGTCCCTACTCGCAGGTGGATCTAGTGATTATAGTGCACAAACTATTCGCGCATATGATGGATCACTTGCAGATCATGCGCATAGTGGACACCATGATGATGGAAATGGATTGTACGGACACAAATCAAATATCATTTCAGGACTTTTGCAAGGCCTTCGAGGTCTTCGACATGGCCGAAATGATGGTCACCTTTATACCCGAGTTCCGAGGACGTTCCAAAGACGATGGAAAGTCCGCAAAATGGTTTTGTTGGAACTGAACCAGAAATGAAAATGAAAACTCGTACTCTATTTATGCTGCACTTCAATAAGTAATTGAAACTTTATTGATATTCATTTTGGGCTAACTAAATATTGAGGCCTGGTAGGATTTTTGTTAGGACTGGTAGGGTTTTTGTTAGGACTGGTAGGATTTTTGTTAGGAATAGTAGGACTTCTTTTAGGACTGCTAGGAGTTCTTTTAGGACTGGTAGGACATCTGTTAGGACTGTTAGGACTTCCGGAACCACACCCAAAATCGAGGTAACTATTCCAAGAATTTTTTCCAAAATGGGCTCTAAAAGTGCCACCAAATCTGTGACTAGGGTTACTGCCAAACCATCAACCAATTTTTCAACGACACCCAACGCAGTACCATCCACACTAGTTAAGGTTGCTAGTAAGTCACTAGCCAGAGCCATAGTTGGAGCCATTAGATGGAGGAATAGAAGCTAGGGATAACAAATTATTCAGTGGCTCATTTCGATTCTAAGAGGATATCTCTATATACTTACAGCAACGCAAATCATCTTGCCCATCGAACCGGGATTCAAAATTGCCATCATGCTTAATGTTTTTAGTGCTTGAAGTAGAACTATAGCTCTGAAATAAACCCCAGCCGACTTATATAGGGAAAGGTTCAGCCCCAAGCTGTCACGACACTTGCCTGAAGATAGTATACCCAATATAGTTCGTGAGTGGGTAATACCACAAGGTTTGATTGGATACGATACATACGATTATATTCGACTGAATGTTTTCTGATAAGCGTCCCATGAATTCGGATTCTGTCGAATGCCAAATTTTATGACTCTATTAGGAGGAGCCGCGCATACGCAACAGAGGGGAAACGAGGGGAAGGCAAACGATGCAAAATGCCAACCGAAAGATCATAAACATTACTACCTTTGACTCCAACTGATCGTCCGAATATACGAGCCAAGCTATGCCTGTATATAGTCATCGTCATGTGTTCCCTTTTTCGCTGATCTTCCAAGCGCGTTAAAGGAATTTTTGCGTGGATTTTTTTTTTGTGCACAACCTCTTTGGTGTTGGCATAGCAACATAAATTACATTTTATTGGCAATTCGGTTGGGAAATTAATGTGCATACAGTTGGCAACTTTGGTAATTTATGCAAATAAAACGATCGTAAATTTGGCATTAAAACGCTTATTAAATGATCGTTTATTAACCCAGCTCCAGCCCAACATTGGTTCCGTTCTGTTCTGTTCGCTTCAGCTTGGCTCACTCCCAAAATGGATAACCTTCTATCCAGCACCAACAATACCAGAGCTACTCATGCAGGTAGTTCCTTTGCTTGTGCAACAAGGTTGCGATTTGTAGCAGTTGCATAAATTAAGTGATTAACAGAATTGTTCCTAAATGTTGGCAGCTACTTACAAGATTGATATAATTTACGATCCCGAACCTGAACAGAATTACTCGGCCTGTGTGTGTGTCTGTTTGTCTGTCTATAACTTCTGGGAAAATGCAATTGGATGCTGGTTGAACATATGTACGAGTATCTCTCTCATTTTTGTTTTGTTTTCTTCTTCCTTATTGTTTAATGTATTAGCTGCCGCATTGTGTGTTAATTTGACATTCCTTGGGAATGGGAATCGCAATGGGTATGGGTATGGGTATGAGAATGGTCAGCAACAGCTTCAACACTCTTCAGCACGACAAACGAGGCTTGTTGCTGTCAAAAGCAAGAAATATAACCATATAAAATCAGTCGGCCAAAGCCACTGAGCTGGAGTCGGTGATGTTGCTGCTGTTGCTGCTGCTGCTGGTGGCTCTCCTGAACTGTCTCGGTCTTTATCCCCAGCCCACGTCTCCTGGCCTGTCCTGTCCTGTCCTTTCCTCCCATGATCGTCAGCCCCATCATCGTCGTGCAGCTCAGGCAGGATTAGCAAAATTAATGCGGCAAGTCGGAGCGGAGACTGCTGCCGCTGGAATCCCAAGCTGTCATCGCTTCAGGTCTTCACTTTATCATCAAAACACGGCAAAGCTACAGAGAAACTTTCAATGAAATGAATTTCGCGCAAAATGATTCGAAATAAATGAAAAAGTTTCTTCCAAAATATAATTCAGTTTCCCACTGCCTTACAGTTTTGAAACTTGACTTGGTTGTTTATCGAATAATCATCTGCTAAAATCTTCACATTAATCAATGAGTCCGCAAAGCTCATTTCATTTCATTCATCTAAACCCTTGTCAAGGGTGCATTGTTCTGCGTCTTTCCCCCATTTCCCATTATTATTGTCCGGCCATAAAAACTTTATTGATTGATATGCCCAACGGTTTGAAAGATATTTTAAGAGTGGCCCCAGTGCCTTTAGACGGTTTTTTGTTTGTGTCACCCCGAAAGAGTTGATTCAGAAGGAAGTGAAACTCGCGTTCATTCATATGCCCATGGGTGAATAAAAAACATTCAGATTCATTCATTGTGTATGGTCTCTGGCTGGGGTCTCGGGTTTAGCCTCAGGCCGATAATGATGGCTTAATAATTGAAATTTATCAAAATAAATTAGGCAAAGCGTCTTTAAGGCCCAATGCCACATTAATTACAATGTCTTTGGAGAGTTACGATCATTTGGCATTTGAAATGCGGCTTGACAAATGGCCAGATCATTCACAGGCCCCAAAGTAGGAGAAGATCTTGCGCTTGCGCTATACAATAAACAATTCCAATGCCACAGATCTGTGGGCCCATAAATTTGGCCAGCAATTTACAACGATCAATTCATAAATTTATTAATGAATTAAGTTATACGGTAATTTTTGCAGTCAATGTTGTAGCCTCCTCCTGGTCCTGCTCCCGCTCCTGCTCCATCTCGTAACGAAATGCAATCTGCTCGAAACAAAATGATGATCACTGATGATCGTTGGCAATATATCAACGGCGGACATGGCCTCCAATGCCTGCCCCGACCTAATCGAATTGTGGCCCCGGTACACACCGCACCAGCCGCCAGTCCGCATGAAATTCTTGGAATCGGCAAAGGATGCTCCAGCAGCAGCAGCAGCAGCAACAGCGAAAAGGGAAGATGAAAGTGGGAGAAGAGTAAGGAAATTTAAATGAAGCTGTGGAGGCAGTAGTATAGTGGAGGAAGGAGGGGATTTGGGAGAGGCAGCAGCTTAGTTCTATATTCTAGTGGTGGGAGCAGGCCGGGTTTTATCTCTTTGAGGCACGCCAAAGAGCACGTCCTGGTGTAGCATGCCACATCTCTAGAAGTTCTCTGTCTGCACATGATTAACAAACAAGGGATCTGTGTTCTGGGGCCCTGCTTTGGGTACTTCCTCCCATAATCGTTATCAGTGCGGCACCATCATCAGCACCAGAAGAAACACCATCAACAGGCCACTACAGAGCCAGAGCCAGAGTCAGAGCCAGAGCTGGGCCCAGCCCAGTCTAAAACAACTTTTGCATTTCTTGTTTATAAATTGGAATTTAAAATTAATTAAGTTGTCGTTTTGCGCTTTTATCCAATTTATAACTAATATGACACCGATTATACGAAATATGTTCACTAATTAACGAACAAACACCGCAGCTCTCTGCGCTCTGCTCTCTGTTGTAGTCACAGTCACCCAGCCACCACCGCTAGCCATCTCTTTCTATCTCTTCCCGTGTCTCTCTCTCTCTCTAACTAACGAGCATCCAGGCAGACAGTCAGGCAGCATTCAATGTCGCGCTGTTTGCTGCTTTTCATACCCTTACTCCTAGTCTTATGGTTTAGGTAAGCTGTTTGAGCGATGTCTCTGGATTTAATTTAGACAATTTTTATTCGAAAAGGAAGAGACTCTTACAATACATTCCTGATATATGATTATTATATATAATTATTTTGGCTGAACTCTATGCAATTATTTTTGATACCGTTTTTGTTTTGTTATATTGTTTAGCTATGAGATTATAGTACATCCCTGCATAGATCTATATACCTTCCATTATACACTGGAACAATAAATCTAAAAAGAGTATTCATAAGTTCGGCCGTAAAACAAACATTCCTGGGGGCTGCTGTTGGGGCTCGCTCTGCTCCTCCCGCTGTTGTGCCCATTGCTCCTCCTGCTTGTTTGCCTTGTGTGGTGTGGTGTGGTGGATCTGTTCTTTGCTCTTCTTCCACATCCACATGGAGTTGGGATCGTGTCCGCGTGCTCGTAATCTGCTCGCTGAAGACGCGTTGTAAATTGTCTGACAAAGCTTATTTTATTAATTTAAGCCATAAACGTTGCCCTCTCTGGTTGCTTGTTTTGCAGCTCCTTTTTGGCTTTGCATATACCCTGGTTCCCTCTGGAACTCTGCGACTCTGGCCAAAGTCCCACAGCAGCTCCACACCGAAGCAGCTTCAGCTCGCTCCAACTTCAGCTTCGGCTTCGGCACCAATTTATTGCCATCGTAAAAAGCCGTTTTGCGTTTTAATAAGCCATGTTCGGTTCTTTCGTTTCGGTTGTTAACAGAAGGCGTCGACCATTTCACCATCTTCTCCTCCTATCCTCTCTTTCTCTCTCTCTCTCTGTTTTTTGTGCTCTTTCTCTCATTCCTTCTGGCTGCTGCTTCCTCTCGGCATTCTTTTGGCATAACTGAGAAATTGGAGTTGGTTGTGTTTGGGTGTCGGGGCAATTGGCCAATTGAGTGACATTGGTTTATGGAATGCAACACTGAAACCTAACGGGGTTTAATGGTAGCTTAAGGATTACGGGAGCGGGATGGGAAGAATTTGATTTAAAATAAAAATAAATAGATCTCCATGCTAAGCTGAAATTCTTCCCCTTACTATTCCCATTAAAGCTCCATCCAGCTTGAGTCCGCCGAAACTTCCATAGTCAAAAAGGAATTTCCCACTTGAATGGCCCAAATTAGAAAACAAACAAACAACAAACACTTTCCTTTGGCTGCAAATCAAATAACCCATCTGACCCACAGCATGACCCCCAAGAAATCGCACTTAATCATAAGCGGAGGAATAGGGGAATAGAAGGAGAGGATGGCTACGGGCCAGGTGCAGAAGCCCCCTGCAGAATCCGACTGACTCCCACTCTCAGTATGCAGCACATAATACAAATAAATATGTCAAAATTAAGTAAGCAGCAACAATTTCGAAAAAGATAAGAAACGCACACAAGAGAAATAATAAAGAAAGAGGAGAGAAGAGGAAGAGGCAGTGCGAAAAACACGACGAACCCTTTCTTGGCCACAAAACAAGGCGTTGAAATCAGTAAAAAAAAAAACCAAAAGGACGTGTGAGTCGCTTCTGTGGACGCGACTCTACTTTTATACCCGTATTCTGTCAGTATAGAAATTTGTGAGAATTTATGGGGAATTTTAAAATATTTTACTTTTTACATTCCAAAATCTGGAAACAAAATTTGGTTGCTCTAGCTCTTATTGTCTCTGAGAACTAGGCGTCAAACAAAATGGACAGACAGACGGACATGGCTATATCGACTCGGCTACTGGTGTTGGCTCAAACGTTTCCTTCTCAGCGTTGCACACATCCACTTTTACCACAAATGCAATACACCTCTTAACTCTTTGAGTAAGGGTATACAAACAAAAATTGCCATGAACCAACTGAGATTCTGCTGAGCAAACAACCTGGCCAGCCCATCAA